ACAGGCACCTACGTCGATGAGGTTCCCCCCCCTGGGGCGAACGTAGTCGACGGCATGTGGATCTACAGGGTGAAGCGGCCACCGGGATCTCCCCCGGTCTTCAAGGCGCGCTACGTGGCTAGAGGTTTCAGTCAGCGTGAGGGAGTTGACTTCTTTCAGACCTTCGCACCTACCCCGAAGATGACCACTCTTCGGGTGTTACTACACGTAGCAGCACAGAGAGACTACGAGTTACACTCTCTCGACTTCTCCACTGCTTTCCTTCAGGGCAGCCTACACGAGGAGGTCTGGTTGCGTCGTCCCTCGGCCTTCACTGGCACCTTCCCTCCTGGGACCCAGTGGAGGCTGAGGCGACCTGTTTACGGTCTTCGCCAGGCCCCTCGTGAGTGGCACGACACTCTGCGTTCTACCCTCTCTGACCTTGGGTTCCAGCCGTCTTCTGCCGACCCGTCGCTGTTCGTTCGTCGTGGCTTCACACCGTTCTTTGTTCTGGTTTACGTCGACGACCTCGTTTTCGCCACTCCGGACAGGGTTGCTTTGGCAGACGTGAAGTCCGAACTGCAGAAGAGACACACGTGCACTGATCTTGGTGAGCTGCGCCACTGCCTTGGTCTGCAGATCACCAGGGACAGAGCCGCTCGCACCATTACACTCTCACAGTCACACATGGTGCAGCAGGTCCTTCAGCGGTTCGGGCTTCAGCACTCCACCGTACAGCGCACACCTCTAGCTGTTGACCACAGACTCACTGGTCCCTTTCCTGACGAGCCGTTTGAGCCTAGTGGTCCCTACGCAGAGCTTGTGGGTTGCCTCATGTACCTGATGACTTGTAATCGCACGGACCTCGCCTTCCCTCTCAGCATCCTTGCGCGCTTTGTTGCGCCAGGGAGACACCGTCCTGTTCATTGGACGGCAGCTGTGAGGGTGGCGAAGTACCTAGCGACTACATCAGGCGTGGGGCTAGTTCTTGGAGGGCAGCAGTCTGTCGTACTCACTGGTCACTGTGACTCCTCTTACGCTGACGACGCTGAGACTCACAGGTCTACTCAGGGGTACTGTTTCAGTCTGGGTTCTGGAGCTGTTTCCTGGCGTTCCACGCGCTCCTCTTCTGTCTCGACCTCTACAGCTGAGGCTGAGATTTACGCTGGTGCCATGGCGGCACAGGAGTTGCGGTGGTTGACCTTCTTGCTCGCCGACCTTGGTGAGCGGCCGAGCTCTGCACCGACCTTGTTTACTGACAACAAGGCGTCGATCCTCCTCTGTCGTGAGCCGCGACTGGAGAGCAGAGTGAAGCACATTCACGTCAGGTACTTTCTTCTGCGAGAGTTGCAGAGGCGTGGACAGGCTCGCTTCGAGTTTGTAGAGTCCGAGGCCAACACTGCAGACATCTTCACCAAGGCGCTTCCGCCTTGTGACCACCAGAGGTGTTGTGTGCAGTTAGGCCTTGTTGACACAGGTTCTAGTCATGCGTAGACTTGAGTTTATTGCCTGCTTCGTTTGTACTTTTACTATATATACTTGTGATCTCTTGGACTGGCCTTGTGGCCACTGTTGCTTGTGCTCAGAGTGTGTGGTGACGTTGTGATCCACCCTGAGCTTTGTTTTCTTTTGGACTGGTCTTGTGACCGTACTCTTTTTTGTTTTTTGCTAGACACCCCTCACTTAGGCTATGGGGGTGTGTCAAATGTTGTAGCCTGTAGTGAGGTTTGTCTTAGGGGGTACAGAAGTTAGGGTTTGTCATATGTACCCCAACCAACATCAATGGAACATTCATTCCTCATTTTGACACTTCCCCCCTGTTGGGCTGAAAAGCCCTAGGATCTTTGTAGAGTTAAAGTCTGAGTAAGTGATGTAATAGCCGAAGCGTTGAATAAAGTCCTTGAACCACCTTGCGCTAGTATGTGAGGGCAAAGTAAGTTTATTAAAGCAAAGAGATACAGGAATAAATATATGAGTACGACGAATATGAAGAGGCATTATGACTACTTTACTGTTGCGGTTCGATACAGTGCGACTCGGGCAACTGCTCAATGTCGAGTCAGTTGTGTGTCCTTGCTGTCGCGCTGCGTCAGGTCAAAGGTCGCTGATCTTTGACTTTCTCGTAACCTCCAGCGGTTACGTTAACTTCCGAGGGTTGACTCGCGATGCTTCGATTTGAGCTGCTTCGCTTGTGTCTTGAGTTCTGACACGACAGAGGCGCTTAAACTATTTATTCCCAACACCCCCTATGGCGCAAAAGTTTAGCCTCACTGACCCTTGTGCTGCCCGCTGACCAAAAATTGCTCAGCGTGGGTAAAAAGTGCAAATAAAACACCCCCCGCTCAAACATAACCCCCGCGACTTCGTGCTCACGATCAAGTTATGTGCGGGGGGCATTTCGAAGGTGTGTTTGGGATGGAAAAATGGGGGGTATACGAACCCCCCTTTGTTAAAATGCAGGCTTGTTCAAGGGTTCCCCTCTGAATAGCAATGTGTCGGCTGTGCCACCGCTGTGCTTTGTTAAACGCGGCATGACGATGGCATGGCTAGGGGATGGTATTTTGCCTAGGGACAAAGTTTCGTCCCCGCTTCCAGATGCCATCGAACTGTTAGATTTGGTGGAGAAAAGTGGGCGTTCGCCAGACGCCCACTTTGTTTGTTGGTCTGGACGGTAGGTGAGGCTCGGCACTTCTTTCACGGGCTGACCAAGCTGACGGAGGTAAACGAACTCTAACTGACGGGATCAGGAAGGCGAGAGGAACATTCATGATCCCGTCGTTATCCCGTTGGTGCAGTTCGCCAACACCATTATATCCAAAACCAAAGGATAACGACGGGATCAGGAAGGTGGGTCTCGCCTTCCTGATCCCGTCAGTTAGAGTTCGTTAACCTCCGTCAGCTTGGTCAGCCCGTGAAAAAAGTGTCGAGCCTCACCTACCGTCCAACCCAACAAACAAAGTGGGCGTCTGGCGAACGCCCACTTTTCTCCACCAAATCTAACAGTTCGACGGAACCTGGAAGCGGGGACGAAACCTCGTCTCCAGGCAAAATGCCATCCCCTAGCCATGCCATCATCATGCCGCGTTTTTCAAAGCACAGCGGTGGCACAGCCGATGAATTGCTGTTCAGAGGGTAACCCTTGAACAAGACTGCAGTTTAACAAAGGGGGGGTTCGCATACCCCCTATTTTTCCCTCTCAAACACACCGTGGCGGGGGTTGTGTTTGAGCAGGGTGTGTTTTATTTGCGTTTTTAACCCACGTTGAGCAATTTTTCGTCAGCGGGCAGCACAAGGGTCAGGGATGAGCAAATTTCGCGCCATTGGGGGGAAGGTGGGGATGGACCTTCCCGATGCGGTTGAGAAATTTCGCCTCTCGATTGTGCGTAGTTTCTCGGGCGGCATTTCGCCCAAACCTCGGAGGAGGGTTCCGCCCCCGTTTCCATATGGGGTCGGGACGCTGATGCCATCGTTTTCTGTTGAAGAAACGATTTGCTGGCGAACAGCACCGTTGTTTTTTGCTATAATGGTGCTGGCGAACAGCCCCAATTATACATGGTCCATTATCCCCACGTTAGGAGTCACGGAGTGTACTCTCCAAGTAATTCGTCTTATTGTTCAATCCAAGAGCCCACTATTGGCGCGAAACTGGATGCGGTCACTAGGTGAGGGTGCGACACGAACCAGGGGCTCGTTTCGGTCGCACACGTATTCGTTCGGTCAAGAGTTGGAGTGCGCTCGCGGCTCCCCCCACGCTGATTCGTGCGCGGCGGAATTCTGACAGCGTCGTACCGAATGAAAGAGCTTTGTTAATAGTTACTCAGCCTTGCGAATAAAGCAAACATGGAGCTCTTCGACATCACGAAGCGTTCACACCAATGGCGTCAACGCAAGTCAGGCGTGCGCCAATCCACATGGCGCTACCGATCCATCCTTTGCATGGACCCATTTCCCCCATATTCCTCCCCTGCGCCGCCCCCACGTCCTGCCATTCTCACTCCCTCCCTTGCCTTCCACTGTGCCAAGCTTGAGCAGGTGCCCCCCTTGGGACTCCGCCAAAAAAAAAATCACCCGATCACCCAGTAAAACCGGAAAAACCGTGGCTACACATGATGCTCACCCCCTGCACGCGAAATTGCCTTGCACCAGATAGAAACCATGCACCCGTGGGTTTTGTGCCCTGGTGTTGCACCTAGTGTATAGGCACCTGAGACCACTTGCATCCACCTGGTGAACACTCCCAAACCTGACAACACAGCAAAGGACAACCAACGTCGTGCGGTATAATTCTTGTTTTTAGGCCAGGTACCGAACCCACGAAATGACTGGACGAAAGTCGTAGAACGTTGCCAATGTAACATAATGTTACGTCGTGCCACGTTAGATACAACCAGGTGAGTCTAACAGTTTGTGGTGAGGGAAAAAATGCCGCCTGTACCTTACCTGTGCCCGGTATACTCCCCTTGATAGCCTCTCAACCTGCAAACATCACACGTCACTCTTCGTGGTGGTGGTTACCTGGTGTCCCATCACCTTGAAGAGGCGGCAGATGCATGTGCACACAATGACGCACTCACCAAGTGCGAGCAACTGCACAGGCCCGAGACACCCATGCCAATGCAATCTCGTCATATTGGCATAAATCCACACGACATTCCACTCACGCTCATCCTTCTTCAAACCAAGAGAGATACACAATGCCTCGACTCTACCATCGGGCCCAGCTCGCCCTGCATATCAAGAGGGCTATTTGTGCCCACCATGTGGCCAACCCCCTGTTGCGCCATGTTGATCTCGTCCGTTGGTGCTTCACGCGCTTTGGGGTGCGGCTTGACCGTTCAACCATTGGTCGCGTGTTGAAAGGTGCCGACCGTTGGAGAATCCCTGACGATGTGGTCGACGCTATTCGCGTGCGTGGAGGGGCAAACCCCGAGCTGGAACTTGCAATGGCACGTTGGATTGCCAATGCCGGCCCCGCTGGCGTTCCCCTGATTCTGGCGAAGATTCGCGACCACGTCGCGACTATGGCACGTGCGAACGGGGCGCCTGCGACATTTCGTTGCTCCATCGGATGGGTCCGCCGTGCTTTGCGCCGCCAGGGTGTCCGGTGCATGAGCGCTGTCGGCGAGGTGGCCGACCAGGATTTGAACGCCGTGCGCACTACCAAGGAGAAGCTTCCGCAGCTTCTCATGCATCTCGGCGTGCGCCCGCGAGACACTTTCAACTTTGATGAAACCGCGTTGTACATCTCTGTGCTGCCGCGCAAGACCTACGGCACGGGCCGCTCGGCTGGCAAGAAGCTCCCGAAGGAGCGCCTGACCGTCGGGTTACTGGTTAACGCGGAAGGTTCGCACGCCTTCCGCCCGCTCGTCATCTCGAATTCGAAGTGCCCTCACGATTTCAGGCGCGACTTCGACCCCGAGGAATACTGCTACTAGCGCAACACGGCTAAGGGGTGGATCACCAAGTCGGTGAGTCTACTTACGCTGTTTCAAAACACGCCGACATCTTCGTGTTTCCGTCCCGTGCGATCAATGTTAACGGATTTATACATTCCCTCACACGTCGGCCCCCATCCCCCCCCCCCCCCCCGCCAATTCCCCCCCGTTCGCGACAGTTGTTAACGCATTTCATCGAGCAGTTGGACACCGCAATGCACGCCGAGGGGCGCAACATCGTCGTGCTGCTCGACAACGCTAGCAGTCACACCCTGACAACCGAGGGCGCCATCACCGAAGATCTCTTCGGTTTCCGCACACGCGCGCTCAAGAATGTGCGCCTGGTGTACCTACCGCCGAACACCACCTGCTTCACTCAGCCCCTTGACCAGGGCATGATCGCGATGACGAAGGCGCGGTACCGCCAGCATTGGCTCCGCGCCTTTACCGGCATGTGGACCGCCGACGGCGCGACATCGGCGGCAGCAAGGCTCAAACCGAACCTCCGTCTCGTGGTGGAGTGGCTCCACGACACGTGGATGAACATCCCGCGGAGCACTATCCAGCGCTGCTGGTGGCGCACCGGGTGCCTCCCGCGGGCGTGGGCGATGGAACTCCCGCACGTGGAGCCGACCGCCGACCCTCAGATGCTGGCTGACGGTGACATCGGCCTGGACGATCATGTCAACGACGTCGGCATTCTGAACGACCGCCTCTGCCTCGGGCCGTTGGCGATGGCCGCGGAGGAGTTTGTCGGCATTGATGACAACCAACCGACGTGCGCCGAGCCCGGCGAGGACCCCCTGGCGATGGAGCCGGCATTGGCGCAGACGGCACACATGTGGGAGGCGCATGCGTCGATGCAGGCTGTGTACGACGATAGCAGCCCTGCGACGCGCGAAGCACGTCGCACGGCTCGAGCGGCGTGCGAAATGCTGATTGGCTACGCCGATGCGACGTGCATCACGCCCGGGGATCTCTGCGCGCTGTTTGACATCCGTAACCCCATCATCATTGCGAGGATGGAGCGCGCAAGTCCTGCACTCAACCTTAACGAGACTCCACCTCCCGCGATGACGTACGAAGACACCCCACCGGTAGAGACTCCACGTCACCGCGGACGCGTCCTGCCGGCATGGATGACGGTGCCGACCCCAGACTGGGTGGCCCAGGCTGCTCGCCGGCAGGAGCTAATTGACGCAGGTGCTCCCGCCGTGATGAGCGGCTATATGGCGGCGGCAGAGTGGATGCGGCTGTGAGTGCCACCAAGGAGGGGTATAAATCTCGACATTTCTCCAATGTGCACGAGTCGTGCACATTGGTTGTTAATTGTGACTGCATTAGCGAGGTGGGGGTCAGGATACAGTTGTGTGTTTCCGATTGGTGTGTTGGTGTTTGTGATGAAGTAAGAGCTGAGATGTAATGTCATGTTGTAGTACGGCTGTGTTTAAGTGGTTACCAGGTGCATTCAAACGCAACAATTGACGCTGCCTGCCACTGTAGGCGGAAAAAACAAAGATGTTACCGCCCGTGCCTTTTAAGAACCCCCGACGGCCCTGGCAAAGATAGCGAACTGCGCGAAAAGTCGAAATCGGATATAAGCCCAGAGCACAAGGGACCCTTGGGAGACTCTAACGCGCATCAGGTGTATTATGCTGAGAACCGATCTGCAGGGAAACGCCCCTCCTGGCGTGGAACACCCTTCGCGAACCTTGAAAAGACGTTGTACACGGTACATTTGTGTTTTAATGACGTTAATGTACGGTTCAGAGCGTTGACATACCGAACCGACGAATGATTCTCAGGGTATTCTACGCCCACTTCTTCACTTCTTCAGGGTGAACCGACCAAGCTTCGAGGCAGCCAGGCTCAAGTGAGAAGGGACGCAAGCCAAGCTGCCTTGGGATCATCATCACTCCCTACCTCCATGCTCCAGATTCGAACAATCCCTGCTTGTAATGGCAGCAGTCAACCTAGAGTGGTAGGTGTGCTGTTGCTGGCGGCTGCGCTGCTGGCTCCTCTAGGATCCGCACCTGCCACAAAGGCCAGCAGGCAGCGGCGATCGCGCGCAGAGCAAGCTTAGCTGGCTGATAGTTGGAAAAGGGATTTCCACTAATACAACATTATATTGCGACGCCTTTCTATAAATCTGCGATTTCCTTCACTAAGGATCTGTCGAGTGGCATTTCCCGCGAGTTACAGGATCCGTGTGCGTTAACCTAATTTAGTATCTTCTCGTGCCGGAAATTAAGCAATTGGCAAGGCCAAGGCTTGAGAGTAAAAAACGCAGCCATGGATGATCTCGCGAGCGTGCTTGCCGCTGCGGGCCTCAAGTCACAAGGCAAGCACACGCCGATGGTGCCGAAGCGACCCCCAGGGGGAGGCATGGGCGGAGGCATGGGCGGAGGCATGGGGGGAGGGATGGGAGGAGGCATGGGGGGAGGCGGAGCACCCAGCTGGGGTGTCGGCGGCGGAGGAATCGGGGGAGGCCAGATGGGCGGCAGCGGTGTGGGTTCCGGATTGGGGGGAAGCACGGGGGGAGGGATGGGTCGAGGAGTGGCCGGGGGTATGGGTGGGAGTTCGGCGGGAGGTATGGGAAATCTAGGAGGTATGGGGAATTTGGGAAGTATGGGAAACTTGGGGGGTATGGGGAATTTGGGAGGCATGGGAGGAGGAATGGGAGGAGCAGGAGGAGGCATGGGAAATCTAGGAGGTGGGATGAACAAACCGGCTGCCGGTATGGGTGGTGGCATGGGTGGCGGGGGGAGTGGCAGCATGGGTAGCGGCATGAGTGGCGGCATGGGAGGCGGCATGAGCGGCGGCATGGGTTCCTTTGGAAAAGGCATGGCCAGTGGCGGTAGTAGCGGCGGGAGTCGCGGCGCGACCACCGGTCTGTCTAACAACGCGTTCGCGGGGCTGGGAGTGGCGGATTTCGGGCTCGGAGGCGGAAGCGGAGCGGGCGGGAGCAAGAGCGGAGCGGGCGCGAGCACGTCGAGTCGCGGCCAAACCCCCACGAGATCCGGGCATTCCGGCAGATCGTCGCCGTCCGTGACCGAGGATCTCTCGTCAGGATCTACCGGCGGCGGCGGCGGCGGCGGCGGGGGGGTGGCGGCGACAGCGTCGGCGTTTGACGAGCTGATGAGCCAGGGGTTCGAAATGCCGCCTTCGTCGTCGTCTGCGACGTCGTCGGCGAAAGAGCGGCGCGATCCGTCGCCGGTGCCTCCTGCTCACGCGGACGACGACCTTCTGGCGGGATTCGGGTACGTTGATTTCTTACGCGCCTCAAGAGCAGGTACACGCGGATTCGATCTGCTGGCCGGATTCGGCAGGTACGAGGGGGGGGGGAAGGAAACAAGTATTATACACGTCTCACAATTCGGTGCTTGCTGCTCACGCGGAGGAGGATTTGTTGACCGGATTCGGCAGGTACGGTGATTTCTCGTGCTACATGAACAGTTACACGCGGACGGCGATTTTCTGGCTGGATTCGGCAGGTATGGAGTGGGGAGAGGGTAACTGGTGAACTCTGAAAGTGCGCGGACATGAAAAGCCGGAACGCGATGTTGCATGATGATATACAGTGGTGTTTCTCGGCCCAAATCATTCGGTGAACTTAACAAGTCCGAGCTGGTTTGAAGTCGCTTCCGAGAAATCTCAAAAGCGAAATACGTTGGAGTTCTGGTTTACAGAAGTCTCAAATCTGTTACCTGGGTGAAGAATACCCAAGTGCGGAATGAGATGGGCGATCTTGGCCGTCGTCGATCGCGGCTCCCGCGACTGATCCCCAGAACGGCGTAAGTTGGAGATCGCGGCCCCATGTTTACCTGGAGCAGGAAAGAATGCTTCGCCCCTTCAAGTGTCGAGATTTCAGGGTCGTGACAATGCTAACGATTCGGGACGCGGTGTGCTAGTTGAGGTAGTCAGTGCGCACTACAAGAATGTTTGGTATCATACCGTATCAGATTGTCTCCCACCCCCCGCTTCTCGCGTTGGTCAGCTTTAGGCGCGCGTTCAAATGGAAAGGCACACTCGGATTCGCACACTCAGTTTCTCTGTCCGTCCACTGCGGTAGGCATGCTCACGGGACCGAAAGTCCGCCCCTTCTCCTCCTAAGATGTGCGCCGCTCACCAACCTCACTCTCCCCATCCCTCACGATCCTTCCCCAACCCTCCTTGACTCGCCACATCTCCATTTTCCTTCAGTTCTGCCAATCCCACGAGCACCACTGCGGGCCCGTCTACCTCGTTAGTGGGAGGGATGTTTCCTGAAGAGAGAGGGAGGGAGGCCTCTCGCCCATGCCCTCGTTACTCGTCGCAACCATGTCTGTCACAGCTTCCCCACATTCCCTTCCCCGCATCCCCTTGCCCCCTTCCACCCATCCCATTCCCCCCATCCCATTCCCCCCTTCCCTCCATCCCTCCCCCTTTCCCCCCATCCCCCCTCAGTTCCGCCAAGCCCACGAGCACCGCTGGGGGACTATTCCCCGAAGAGGGAGGCCCCTCGCCCATGCCGTCGCACTCCTCCTCTGCTGCGCCCGCTGCTGCTGCTGACCCGTTTGGAGTCGACCCGTTATTTGGTACAGGCGCCCCTGCCTCTGCTGCTGCTGCTGCTGCTGTTCCCGATCCTTTTGATGCGTTTGCCATGCCTACTGCTGGAAGCGGCTCGGGAGGCTCGGGATTAGGTATGGATGGGGGAGTTCCGACACAGGGCAGCGGTTTGGGAGACCAGGCTTCAGGTCCGGATATTGGTCTGGGTGACTTTGAGACGTTCGTGCAGCAGGTTCCCGTACCTGAGGTTCGGGAAGAGCCTCGGGAGGAGGCTCGGAAGGCGAGGAGGGAGGATAGCGGGGAGGCGAGGGAAAGGGAGAGGGAGAGAGAACGGGCTAAGGAGAGGGAAAGGGAAAGGGAGAAGGAAATGGAGAGGGAACGGCAGAGGGAGAGGGAGGAGCGAGAGAGAGCGAGGAGAGGAAGTGACGGGCCAGCAGGAGGAGCAGGAGGAGCGGGAGCGGCAGGAGTGGGTGGAGATCGGTGGATTACGGTTGATGAGGTTATTCTTCGAACCAACCCCAGCAGCACCCCTCCTCCGCCCTCCCGCCCACCTCCTGCCACACCCCGCCGCCCCCGGTCCAGTGCACCCTCTTATGCTGCTGCTGGCGGTGGTGGTGGTGGTGATGGTCCCATGCCCAGGAAAATGAGCTTTGAGAATGCTGGGGAGGGAGGGGTAGCAGGGGCAGGCGGGCGCGGGTCAGGCGGGAGGGGAGGGGAGGAAGCAGGAGGGAAACGGCAGCAGTCGGAGCAGAGAGGGGGAGGAGCAGGTGGTTTGGATGGGTTTGATGAGTTTGCTGCTGGTGGCGGTGGGAGGGGAGGGGAGGAGGAGGAGAGGGGGGGGCCGCCTAGGAGGCGGAGGGCGGGAGCAGCGGCGGCCAATGGGGAGGTGCCAGGTGGCGGGTATGCCCCACCGTCGGATTCGGCGTCAGCAGCGGCGGCTTCATCTGCTGCTATGAAGGATGCTATGGAGAGCGCACAGAGGAAGGCTGATGCTGCCCGGGCGGCCAGAGACAAGGAGAGGGAGCGGGAGCGGGAGAAGGAGAGGGAGAGGGAGAGGGAGAGGGAGAGGGAGCGGGAGGAGAGGGAGAGGGAAAGGCAAAGGCAGAGGGAGAGCGAGAAGCAGCGGGAGAAGGAGAGGGAGGCGGCGAGGCAGCAGCAGCAGCGAGCGCAAGAAGCAAAGAGCAGAGCCTCTGTGAGTGGGCGCTGGTGCTGAAGCTGGGGCTGGTGTTGCTGGCGTTGGATGGTGTGGTGTGTGGTGTGGTGTGGTGTGTGGTGTGGTGTGTGGTGTGGTGTGAGGGTGGGTGTTAGTTGCTGGGTGGATAGGCCGATGGTCCACCTGTTAATGCTCTTTAAGGGCAGGTACCTGATTTCAATCAGTCGTCTGATGGGTACAACACAGCTTTGCCTCTAGATTTTAGCATTTATCTCAATGGGTTTTTTGTTTTTGTTTTGATTTTTTTTCTCCTTTTTTTTGTATTGCATTCTTGTATTTTTTATTCCCTCAATTTCATCATGCTGTCTCAGCTCTCCAAACCTCTCTCGCCCACCCTCCTCTCCTCCTCGCCCCACCCACCTGCAGCAACCAGCGCCGCCAAAGCAGCAGCCTTCTTCAGCCGACGATTGGGCCGACATCCTCGGTGCGTTCCTCTCATTCTTGGTCCATTTTAATCGTCCCGTTCTTCCCTCTTTTGGGACGTCTCAAAAGCCGACAATTGGGCTGACATTCTCTGTGTGTTTCTCTCATTCTTGGTTCGTTTCCATCGTCCCGTTCCTTCCTCTTCCGCCCCCTCTCTTCCCCTCCCCATATCCCCCTCCCCCACTTCCCCCTCCCCCCCTCTCTCTTCTCCCTTCCCTCTCTTGCTTTTCCTCTCTTCATGTCCTTCTCTTCCTTCCCCTCTCGTTCCCTCTCTTCTTTTCCGTTTCTCACTCTTCCTTTCCCTCTCATCCTTTCCCCATTTTCACGCTCCCTCCGTCCCTCCCCTTCCCTTCCTCTCCTCCTCTCCCTCTGCCTCTCACAGCATCTATTTCCACTTCCACCATCGTGAAGCCACGTGTAGTGAGGCGCTTTTTGAGGGGCCTCAAATTTCCCCCTTCTCCCTCTGCTTCTCACAGCATCTATTTCCACTTCACCTTAAAAATCCGCACGTCCCAATCATGTTCCCTTCAATCCCTCATTCTCTCAATCCCATCTGTTCCCTTTCTCTCTCCTTCTCCCTACCTCTGCCCCCACTCCTACTCATCCGTTTCCCCGTCACGCGTTCCCCTTCACATGAGCCAGGCGGGGGAGGGGGAGGAGGCGGCGGAGGTGGGGGGGCAGCAGCAGGCGCGCGGGCAGGGGGAGGCAGTCGGCTGGACGAGTTTCAGGAGGTGGAGGGCGAGAGTGAGGAGCGGCGGCAGCTGCGATACGAGCGGTTTCAGCGCCTGCAGGAGAGAGCGGTGAGTGGGGTTGGGGGGCACAGGGAGGGAGGGGTGGTTGGGGGGCACAGGGAGGGAGGGGTGGTTGGGGGGCACAGTGAGGGAGGGGTGGTTGGGGGGCACAGGGAGGGAGGGGTGGTTGGGGGGCACAGTGAGGGAGGGGTGGTTGGGGGGCACAGTGAGGGAGGGGTGGTTGAGAGCCGCAGGAGGAACGCAGGCAGGGGTACAGGGAGCGGTGTTATGATTGGTGGTCGTGAGAGAGTGGTGTGTGGGGCCGCTTTGAGGGACGGGGCACAAGCATGGACGCAGGATGGCAGGGGTGCAGGGAGGGCAGGGGCGCAGGGAGGGCAGGGGCGCAGGGAGGGCAGGGGCGCAGGGATAGGAGCTCCTGAGAGGTCTAATCCCTCCTTCTCCGTATCTCCCGGTTCTCCTTTCCCCCCATCTCCCCCTCTCCTTCAACTCCCCACCTCTGCTTTTTGAAGTGCCTAAAAAAAGCTCCTGAGAGGGCCCATCTTTCCTTCTCAATACCTCCCAGCTCTCTCTTTCCCCCACCTCCCCCCTTCCATCATCTTCCCCCACCTCTGCTATCCCCCCCTCCCTCTCTTAATCTCGTCCACCCTCCCGCACATTTTTTTTTTTCCGCCCGCCCTTTCCCCACGGTTTCCGTCTCTCTCATTCATCGCCCCACATGCGCTCTTCCTTGCTCCGCCCAACTTCCTCCTTTCTCCCCGCCCCCACATAGCGCCCTTTCTTCTCGTTCCACTCGTCCACCTCGTCCGCCCCTTTCTCCTTCTCCCTCCCGTCTCCTTACCGACCCCCCTTCCTCCTGTGCACCACTTAACCCACCCCACCCCCCCTCTTCCCCCGTCCGCTCTCCCCCCTCCTTCCCCCCCGTCCGTCCGTTCTTCCCCCCCCTTTCTCCCCGTCCTCCCTCTCTCCCCTCCTGCCTGTCCGTCCGCCCTTCCCCCCCCCCTTCCCCCCGTCCGCCCTCCCCCCTCTCCCCCAACTGTGCCCCGTGGCAGGCAGCAGCGTTGGATGAGAAGAAGAAGCGAGACATGGACGTTCTGAAGGAGCAGGAGGACCGACACGTGAGTGATGAGGGGTGGAGAGGGGTGGGGAGGGGTGAGGAGTGGTTGTCTGGTTGGAGGAAGGAGTGAGACATGGACGTGCTCAAGGATCAAGAGGACAGACACGTGAGTGATGAGGGGTGGAGAGAGGGGTGGGAGGGGTGGGGAGTGGTTGGATGATGTAATGGAGGGAGTGAGGATGAGACATGGACGTTCTCAAGGAGAAGGAGGACCGACACGTGAGTGCTGAGGGGTGGGGAGGGGTGGTGAGTGGTTGGATGAATTGGATGGTTGGATGGTTAAAGGTGGCGGGATTGTGAATGAGACGTGGACCAAGGAGCAGGAGGACTGGGATGTGATTGCTGAGGGGTGGGGAGGGGTGGGGGGGGGATGGTGGGAGGTGGGAAAGGGTGGGGAGGGGTGGTGGTAGAGTTCCCATCCCTTGTGGGCTTTTCCTCCCTTACCCCCGCTTCCTCCACCTCTCCATTCTCCTCCGGAAAGTCGGGGGATATTGAGTGAGATCACGCGGTGCGGTGCTACAAATTCCCCTCCCCCTCTCTCCCCTCATTCCGCCACCCTCTTCCAGAAAGCTGGCGAGATGCTGCAAATTGAGATCAAGTGTGGTAAAGATTCCCCTCCCCCTCCCTCGCCCCCTGTCCCCCTCCCTCGCCCCCTGTCCTCCTCCCTCGCCCCCTGTCCCCCTCCCGCCCCTGATCCGCTTATCTTTCTTCCAGAAAGCCGGGGGGGTTGCTGGATATCGAGAGCAAGCCGGGGGGTTGCTGGATATCGAGAGCAAGCCGGGGGGTTGCTGGATATCGAGAGCAAGCCGGGGGGTTGCTGGATATCGAGAGCAAGCCGGGGGGTTGCTGGATATCGAGAGCAAGCCGGGGGGTTGCTGGATATCGAGAGCAAGCCGGGGGGTTGCTGGATATCGAGAGCAAGCCGGGGGGTTGCTGGATATCGAGAGCAAGCCGGGGGGTTGCTGGATATCGAGAGCAAGCCGGGGGGTTGCTGGATATCGAGAGCAAGCCGGGGGGTTGCTGGATATCGAGAGCAAGCCGGGGGGTTGCTGGATATCGAGAGCAAGCCGGGGGGTTGCTGGATATCGAGAGCAAGCCGGGGGGTTGCTGGATATCGAGAGCAAGCCGGGGGGTTGCTGGATATCGAGAGCAAGCCGGGGGGTTGCTGGATATCGAGAGCAAGCCGGGGGGTTGCTGGATATCGAGAGCAAGCCGGGGGGTTGCTGGATATCGAGAGCAAGCCGGGGGGTTGCTGGATATCGAGAGCAAGCCGGGGGGTTGCTGGATATCGAGAGCAAGCCGGGGGGTTGCTGGATATCGAGAGCAAGCCGGGGGGTTGCTGGATATCGAGAGCAAGCCGGGGGGTTGCTGGATATCGAGAGCAAGCCGGGGGGTTGCTGGATATCGAGAGCAAGCCGGGGGGTTGCTGGATATCGAGAGCAAGCCGGGGGGTTGCTGGATATCGAGAGCAAGCCGGGGGGTTGCTGGATATCGAGAGCAAGCCGGGGGGTTGCTGGATATCGAGAGCAAGCCGGGGGGTTGCTGGATATCGAGAGCAAGCCGGGGGGTTGCTGGATATCGAGAGCAAGCCGGGGGGTTGCTGGATATCGAGAGCAAGCCGGGGGGTTGCTGGATATCGAGAGCAAGCCGGGGGGTTGCTGGATATCGAGAGCAAGCCGGGGGGTTGCTGGATATCGAGAGCAAGCCGGGGGGTTGCTGGATATCGAGAGCAAGCCGGGGGGTTGCTGGATATCGAGAGCAAGCCGGGGGGTTGCTGGATATCGAGAGCAAGCCGGGGGGTTGCTGGATATCGAGAGCAAGCCGGGGGGTTGCTGGATATCGAGAGCAAGCCGGGGGGTTGCTGGATATCGAGAGCAAGCCGGGGGGTTGCTGGATATCGAGAGCAAGCCGGGGGGTTGCTGGATATCGAGAGCAAGCCGGGGGGTTGCTGGATATCGAGAGCAAGCCGGGGGGTTGCTGGATATCGAGAGCAAGCCGGGGGGTTGCTGGATATCGAGAGCAAGCCGGGGGGTTGCTGGATATCGAGAGCAAGCCGGGGGGTTGCTGGATATCGAGAGCAAGCCGGGGGGGTGCTGGATATCGAGAGCAAGCCGGGGGGTTGCTGGATATCGAGAGCAAGCCGGGGGGTTGCTGGATATCGAGAGCAAGCCGGGGGGTTGCTGGATATCGAGAGCAAGCCGGGGGGTTGCTGGATATCGAGAGCAAGCCGGGGGGTTGCTGGATATCGAGAGCAAGCCGGGGGGTTGCTGGATATCGAGAGCAAGCCGGGGGGTTGCTGGATATCGAGAGCAAGCCGGGGGGTTGCTGGATATCGAGAGCAAGCGACAACATTTTCCTTCCTTTCCCCTGCTCCCTCCCCCCCCCCTCGCAACTGTTCTATCCTCCAAAAAGCGGGAGTAGATGCTGGACATTGAGATCAAGCGGTGGTGGTCAAAACTCCGCTACGCTCCCCCCCTCCCTCGCCCCCTTTTCCCCGCACCTCTCGCTTCCAGAAGGCGGGGGAGATGCTGGATATCGAGATCAGACGGTGGCAGAAATCCGTAGCAGGGGGTGGCCATCTTAATTCAAGTGCTTTTATTCCCCCTCCCCTCCCTCCTCTTCCCTCCGTCCTCTGCCCTGCCTCCCCCTCCCTCCCTCCAGAAAGCGGGGGAGATGTTGGATATTGAGATCAAGCGGTGGGCGGCGGGCAAGGAGGGCAATCTGCGCGCACTGCTCTCCACACTGCAGTTTGTGAGTCTCTTTGGATGCTACCGCGTGTTAGATCCCTATTATATGGTGTATATTTTCTGTGGTTGTGGTCCTGCCCACGTGGCAGTTTGGTAGTCGCTTAGGCTATCCTGTGAGCAGCTCACAAAGTTTGCTGCTTGGGTTATCCTGTGAGCCCAATCATGTGAGCCCAATCATGTGAGCCCAATCATGTGAGCCCAATCATGTGAGCCCAATCATGTGAGCCCAATCATGTGAGCCCAATCATGTGAGCCCAATCATGTGAGCCCAATCATGTGAACAACACTGCTGGTTCTCGTCCCTCGATTCAGTGAGCAAGTGTATTACAGCATCACACAGGAACAGAATTTTCTGTCAACAGCTCATGTCAAGCTGGTTATTTCATTGTGCGATGTGATCCACTTACATGTTTGATCGGAATAGTTTGTCTTGTGAGACAAGCTGGTTATTTCTTTGAATATTAACAAAACCATAATAGGTTTGACAACCTTCACTCCTTTTGAGTTGACTCAAAAGTCACCTCTGTATATTACCCAGAAATATCGGTGAAGATTACCCAGAAATTACGGACTCATTCGATGTGTGCTACTCACCCTGTCAACTTGTTTGTGTGTGTAAGGTGTGTATTGTACCTGTCAGGATCGATTAAATTTTCTCACTCCCTCCTTCCCTCCCTCCTCCCGGCCTCACCCCCTCGCCCCCCCCCAGGTGCTATGGCCAGAGTGCAAGTGGGAGCCTGTGGCGCTCACAGACATTATCAGGTAGACGGCTTGACGTGTGTGTGTGAGGTGGGCGGGGCATGTGTTTGGTGGTGCGGGCCCAAGGCATGGCAGTAACGGGTGCAAGTGGGAGCCTGTGGCGCTCACAGACATTATCAGGGGACGGCTTGACGTGTGTGTGGGGGGGAGAGGAGTTGACTGGCATGTGCCATGGGGTATGGCAATGCTGGTTGAGGCATGGCAGCAAGGGGTGCGTGCAAGTGGGAGCCTGTGGCGCTCACAGTCATTTTCAGGTAGACGCCTTGGAATGAGTGGTGTGCCATGTGGTGCGGTGGTGTGCCATGGGGTGCGGTGGTGTGCCATGGGGTGTGGTGGTGTGCCATGGGGTGTGGTGGTGTGCCATGGGGTGCGGTGGTGTGCCATGGGGTGCGGTGGTGTGCCATGGGGTGCACGTTGGGGTTGGTGCTGGTGGTGTTGCTCTGCTGGTTATGCCTGCCTGCTGCACCCCCCCTCGCCCTCACCCCCCCCCCCCCCCCCCCCCGCCCTCACACCCCCCCCTCCTCACCCTCCCACCCTCACTCCCCCCTGCAGTGCAACAGCAGTGGTTAAGGTGCATAGCAAGGCACCGCTGTGTGTGCATCACATATGCCCACCTACCCGCCCTCCCTCCCTTCCTTTTCCCCCTGTAGTGCGGCAGCAGTCGACTCAAAAGTCACCTCTTTATTGCAAGGCAGCGCTGTGCCTGCTTCCTGTATGCCCACCTGCCCTCTCGCCTGCCCCCGTGTACCCAGGCCCTCTCTCCCGCCCTCCCTCTCTCCCTCCCTTCCTTCCCCCCTGCAGTGCGGCAGCGGTGAAGAAATCGTACCGCAAGGCAGTGCTGTGTGTGCATCCCACGTGCCCACCCTCCCATCCACCCACCCTCCCTTCCCCTCCCCCCGTCCCTCCCTTCCCCCCTGCAGTGCGGCAGCAGTGAAGAAGTCGTACCGCAAGGCAGCGCTGTGTGTGCATCCAGACAAGGTGCAGCAGAAGGGCGCCACAGTGCAGCAGAAGTACATTGCTGAGAAGGTCTTCGACCTGCTCAAGGTGCGTGCTGCGTGACATGCCATGCCATGCAATGCAATGCAATGCAATGCCATATGCCATGCCATGCAATGCAATGCCATATGCCATGCAATGCAATGCCATATGCCATGCCATGCAATGCAATGCCATATGCCATGCCATGCAATGCAATGCCATATGCCATGCCATGCAATGCAATGCCATATGCCATGCCATGCAATGCAATGCCATATGCCATGCCATGCAATGCAATGCAATGCCATATGCCATGCCATGCAATGCAATGCCATATGCCATGCTATGCCATGCCACGTGCTGTTTACCCTCATCGTACTTCCAAATCAGATTTTGATACTACATAGATTTTGTTGATTGATGTGGGATTGGTATATGGCATGGGGCTCTGTACTGTGCTACACCATGACTTGGTGTTTGTGTGTTCTTCAGGAGGCATTCAACAAGTTCAACTCAGAGGAGCTGTTTTAAGGTTTAACGCTGTGCTATGGGTTGCAACTTGGATCAGCTTTTTATGTGTATTGTATCTGAAACTAGATATTATCGGAGTTTAGCTCACAGTGACTAGATTTCGTTACCTTCTCCGCTATTCTGAAACATGATCTCTAGACTTAGTTGCCTGTAAGTTGCATACTAGGTCTTTGGGTCTTCTAAACCAATGCACTTAGATGCTGTTAGACTCTGTGCTATCTAGCAATTTACTTTGGTTGAAGATCAAGTCCACTTACAATCCGCCTCCTTGCATCCCGAACCGAAACGCGTACACGAGACCACCCGCATGCAATCTCGGGAGTGTTCGGAGTTGAATAGACAGGCACGGTTTGTGCATCCACCTGCAAAGGGCAACCGTAATGACATGAAATGTCTTATTCTGCGCCAGATCTCGGTAAACTCTTGAGAGGCTGATGGGAGGCTGAATTGAGTTGAGGCTCCTGGCGCGACCACTGTGAAGCGCGCCCTTGTCCTCCAGAACAGCAAGGATCAGCGGCTTTCTGGTCACATGCATGCTCTACCGATCTTTGCCACGTTGCGCTAGATCGTGTTCGCTGTGTGATCGAGGCGGATAGAAGGTTCCTCTGAATTCAGGAGAGCATTTTAGCGGAACAAACAGCCCTGAAAAAAGTTCCATTTGGGACCAACTGCTAACTTACTGAAGCTTTTTGACATCCAATATGCTAAAAAAATGATAGTTGTTGGGTGCGAGTGTATTTCCTATATTCAATTCCTCATTGCCATCCTTGGCGCAGACATCAAGTGGCCTCTTTCCAACCTGGCAAGGTGGCGTAGCGCCTTCCAGCTCATCACCTCGTCCACATGCCTGTGCCAAACCACCGCCCCTTTGCGCCATGCATGTTTCTTACCCCTCACCTTCCCCAAATTGCTTCCTGGCGCGCGCAGAGCCATTCACACGCATTTGCGGAAGACTGGCCTGGCGGAGTTGAGCTGCTCTCCCCAACCTCGCTGAGTCAGCCTTCCCCCTCCCCCAACAGCAGCCCAGTCAGCCTCCCCTTTTCCCTTTACCTCGCTGAGTCAGCCCGCCCGTGTGCCGCATTACCCGCCTCCTCTCTTGTTGCTCCCAGTCAGCCTCCCGCTCCCCCACAAGCACCCAGTCAGCCAGCCCCGCATTCCCACTTGCGCCCATGATCCTCCCCCCCTGCCCTTCTCATTGCCCAGTCAGCCCCGCGGGTCAACCGCTCCTGCCTCCTCAGTACGCGCCCTCCGCAAAGTCCGCCAACCGCCCCCTCCACCTACACCATCTACACAGCAGAGAAGCTCTGTTGTGCTTACACGTAAGGAGCGTCCCTGCTCAGAGCTGGGACCATTCTCACACGTAAGCCCTAATTTCTTCCGTTTCCTGACTTGAGCCGAGGTTGGCTTGTTTTCTAAGTTCTGAAAGCGCAGCCTAACGAAGCCGCGCTGCGTCACGGATTTTCGAAGCTCGAGGATTACTGCCAAGGAAGAATTTGATCGTTCGAAAAGCGTCGTCGAAAGTCAAGTCGCCATCTCCAGCGCCTGTTATGGGATCGACTGACGTAGGTGTAGCGGCAAACGCGATGAGTAAGGTAGCGCAAACTTCGGTTTTGCGTTCTCTGCCTTTCGGGTCCGTTTTTTCTCTCTTTTTCTTTACCATTTTATTATTTTGTTTATTTCAAGCGTTTACTGTCTATCTACCGTGTCCTTCTCTGCCGGGCAAGTCATTCTCATAGTTTTCTCCACTTCCTCCGCCACCTTTTCACGCCTGCAACTCACACCCGTAGTCTCCGCCACGTTTCTCAACACTCATATGTTCTCCGTCGCGGTGCGTTGTCTCACGACCTATTCATTATCTGTTCACCGCAGGAAGCGCAAGGGTATGGCAAGGATCAACAGATGCCGGCAGGCTACCCCGACTGGGCCGCGGCTTTCCAGGTAACCTCACGCACGTAACCAATATATATATCCGCTCGTGTAAGGCGCCTCGAGAGCCCATGTAACCTCACCACATGTAGTCAGTCTCTTTCCCGAGTTACCAGCAACTACCCGCCGTAGCAGCCACCAGCAACTACCCGCCGTTACCAGCCAGAGGTTACCAGTGTTACCAGTCGCAACCAGCCACCACTAGCGATCGCCAGCTGTGGTAACCAGCGTCAGGCGCCCCTCGCCGCTCTAGCAAGCGACCCTTGTAGAGAAGTCCGAGCCTGCAGTTGACGCGTTTTGAGCTGGAAGCTCGCTCTTTCTGTCCATACGCCTCTGAGCTGGAGGCTGTGATTGGTTTACATGTAGCCGGACTGCATGCCGCACCTCTCTGTCGTCTGGTTCGAGTGCCCCTCGACGGCCGCACCTAGCAAGCTACCCTTGTAGAGCAGTCCAGGCCTGCAGTCGACGCGTTTTGAGCCAGGGCCTCACAGTTTCTGTCCGAACCTTTTGAGCTAGGAGCTGTGGTTGGTTCAACCATAGCGGGATGCCATGCCTCGCCTCTCTAGACAGAGAGGTGGTGCTGTCTAGTTTGAATGCCCCTCTATACCGTGCCATCCCGGTGTCGCGCCTATCGTGGTGGCGCCTGTCGAGGTGGTGCCTGTCGAGGTGGTGCCTGTCGAGGTGGCGCCTGTCGAGGTGGTGCCTGTCGAGGTGGCGCCTGTCGAGGTGGTGCCTGTCGAGGTGGTGCCTGTCGAGGTGGCGCCTGTCGAGGTGGTGCCTGTCGAGTTGGCGCCTGGCGAAGTGCGGCCGGCGGGCGAGCCAAACCAATGCCGGCTTGCTGGCCTGCGCGTGACATCGTCTATTCAAACCACGGCGGGCGAGTCAAATTCGCACAACAGTCTTTCCCATCCGTCCACTCATGGCAGCGCGCGTCCCCTTCCTAATCCCGTCCCCTTGTGTGCGTGTGCGAGTGCGTGTGCGTGTTCGAGTGGCCCCGCGTGTGCCCCGCGTGTGACCCCGCGTGTGTCCCCCTGTTTGTCCCCCCGTGTGCGCGCGCGTGTGTCCCCTCGTGTGTGCGCCATGCCTTCATTCTTGCCAGGCGTACTACGGGCAGGCGGGGCAGCCACCGCCGGGGTACTACCCTGCAGCAGCCGCCGCTCCCCAGCATCACCCCTACATGTGGGGGCAGGTGCGTCGCTTGCCTTACGATGCATTGTTTTCGGGCCACGGCCACTCCCCCCCTCACTTCCTCGCCGCTCCAGGGCCATCCCTACATGTGGGGGAAGGTGCGTAGCTTGGCTCGCACTAGATCATTTGGGTCGCTCCCTTTCCCCGCACAGCCTCGCCCCTTGCTTTTCCCCCGCCAGTTCCACACAGTCTATCTCTCCCTCCCCCTCCCCCTCCCCCTCCACCCTCCCCTCTCCCCCTTTGCCTCACCGCTCCCCCTTTGCGTCTCCACTCCCCCTCTGCGTCTCCAACTACCCGATCCCCCCTTCCCCCATGGCACCGTACGGCCACCCGCTCATCACCTTCCCCTCCCTCCACCCGTCTACCCCCCTCCCTCCACCCGTCTACCCCCCTCCCTCCACCCACACCCCCCTCCCTCCACCCGTCTACCCCCCTCCCTCCACCCGTCTACCCCCCTCCCTCCACCCGTCTACTCCCCTCCCTCCTCCCCTTACCCTCCTCCACCCCCCCCCCCCACCTCCCTTTCTCCGCGCAGCACCTGATATTACCACGGCTCACTTTCCCCCTCCTCCCCACCTCCTCCCCTCCCGCCTCCCCCTGCCCCCACCCCCCTCCATCCGCTTCCCACCGCAACCCCTCTCCCGTGCGGCAGCACGTGATGCCGCCCAATGGCTCACCTTTCCCCTCCCTCCGCTTCCCCGATTCCCCCGCTTCCCCCGAGCAGCACATGATGACGCCCTACGGCCAGCCTCCCATCATCTTCCCGTCTTCCCCCTCCCTCCTCTCCTCCGCTCCCCCTCTCCCCCCTCCCCCTCTCTCTCCTCCCCCGCTCCCCCCGAGCAGCACATGATGACGCCATACGGCCAGCCTCCCCCCTATGGCGCCCCCATGTATCCCCCTGCTGCCATGTACCCGGTAAGAGCAGCTGCCATGTACCTGGTAAGAGCAGCTGCCATGTACCTGGTAAGAGCAGCTGCCATGTACTCGGTAAGAGCAGCTGCCATGTACCCGGTAAGAGCAGCTGCCATGTACTCGGTAAGAGCAGCTGCCATGTACCCGGTAAGAGCAACTGCCATGTACCCGGTAAGAGCAGCTGCCATGTACCCGGTAAGAGCAGCCTCGGTACAAGCCACTGTGTTCCTGTTAGGAGTTGTGTTGTCATGGATACAGCAAAAGCTGTCTTATATGCATTCATGTACACCAAATGACCTGTTTTATTTTCCCTACATTAGCGTTTTTTTCTTCCATCGCCTTACCATTCTTCTCCCTCTTTATTCCCTCTTCCTCTACTTCCCTCCTCTACTTCCCTCCTCACTTCCCTCCTCACTTCCCTCATCACTTCCCTCCTCGCTTTGCCGCTTTCCCTTCTCCCAGTCTTATGCTCCCACTTTTCCTTCCCGTTCCACTCTCCTGCCCACTCTGTCTCGTTAAAAGCAGGGCGCGCAGCCCTATATGGGATACGGCATGCCGTCAGCGACTGCAGCATCAATGGACGCTTCTTCGGTATGTATGTAACAACTATGGGGTGTAACGTGTATGGCGTGTAAAGTGTATGCGTATGGAGTGTGACATGTATGCAATGTAACGCTTATGGACTGTAACGTGTATGGAATGTAACGCTTATGGAGTGTAACACATATGGAGTGTAACATACGTGGAGTGTAGCATGTATGGAGTTCAACATGCGTGGAGTGTAGCATATATGGAGTGTAACACTTTTGGAGTCCGAGCTGGTTCGTGACTGGGAACCTGGTCACCACCATGAGTGGTAACCCCATTTGCATGTGTGTGTGGTAACTGGATCTGCCTGTAACCAGCGCTTCCATTGTTCTGTCACAGTGACACGCCTCCCGTATTGCTCTCCGTCCCGCTTCACCCTCCTCCCCTTTCTCCCCTCCCCCTTCTCCCACCTCCCTCCTGTCTCTCCCCCCCTTTCACCCACCCCAATACTCCCTTATTCTTACATTGCCAGGCCATGGCGCCAGTGGCAATGCACGCGGAGCAGAGATGGGGGGTGAATGATGCGTGTTCATTCTTGTTCCCTCCTTCCGCTCCCCCTCCCCCGTCCCCCTCCCCTCCCATACGCCCTTGTCCCCTGACCCCCTTCCCCAGGCCATGGCGCCAGGCATGGCGCCAGTGGCAATGCACGCGGAGCAGAGGGATGGGGGAGGGGCGGCAGCAGCAGCAGGCGCAGGGGGAGGGGGAGGCGGGGGAGTGGGGGAAGATGGAGGGGGCGCAAAGGCTGGGGAAGGGGGGGCTATGGGCGCGGGGGGAGGGGGAGGGGGAGGGGGAGGCGGAGGCGGAGGGGGGATGGGACCGGGGGGCGGGATGACGTCAGAGGGGTCAAAGCTGCAGTCAGGGAATGGCGTGTTCTCCACCAGGTGTGTGCGGGGGTGGGGAGGGGTGTGGATGGGTGGGTGTGTGTGCGGATGGGTGTGCATGGATGGGTGGGTGTGTGGGTGGGTGGGTGGGTGTGTGGGTGGGTGTGTTGGGACTGGGGGGGTTGAGGGTTGGGTGGATGGGTGGCTTGTGGATTGTTGGGTGCTGGGGTTGGTGTGGGTGAGAGGGTGTGCGTGTGGGTGGGGGGTTGGATGGGTGTCCATGCGGGCCCATAGTTTCCCACGTATGTTGTCACCCACCCATTCACTCTCACTCACTCACTCGCTCAGCCGTCCACTTGCTCTCGCCGGCCCGTGCTCGCACTCACTCAACCCAACCCATCCCCTTCCCATCCTTTTTCTTTGCCTTTGGTTGACACCTGTATGGCTAATTCATGTTGCTGTTGCGCAAGTATAGGTTCTAGTCGACTCGAAAGCCTTCTCTTTGCCTTTCTGTAACACCTGTGTCGCTAATCCATGTTGCGTGGTGGTGGTGGTGTTGCAGCGGAGGGGAGGATGATTCGGAGGAGGACGAGGGCACGGACCACAATGAGGTGAGTGCTGCTGCTGCTGCTGCTGCTGTGTGTGTGATGATGCTATTATGATGTGGTGTGATACCATGACTTTGTGTTAGCATGCACTTGGGTGTGATTATGATGCTATTATGAATCGGAGGAGGACCGAGGATGGGCACGGACCGCGATGAGATGAGAGATGAGTATTGTCGCTTGCGTGATGATGTCATGGTGATTCCAAAGGGGGAGAGAGAGGAAGAGCGTAGAAAAATATAACAAAGGCTTCAAACTGCTAAGGTCAACTTATTTCTTATCCCTTGTTCTCCACCCTTCCTTCTCCTTCTCCTTCCTCTCTCCCCTTCTCCCCTTCTTCCCCACGGGACCTCCCCCTTTGCAGGAAGGGGGGGGCACTGGCGGAAAGGCAGGGGAAGCGGGGGAGATGGGGGGAATGGTGCCTCTAGAGTCCTGGTCCTGGTCCGCGCAAGCCCAAGCCCAGGCTCAAGCTCAGGCTCAAATGCACCAGGCTCAAGCCCAAGCCCAGGCTCAAGCTCAGGCTCAAATGCACCAGGCTCAAGCCCAAGCCCAGGCTCAAGCCCAGGCTCAAGCTCAGGCTCAAGCCCAGGCTCAAGCTCAGGCCTCATATGCTATATTAGCTCCTCTTTTTTGTCCTTTGTTCTCTACCCGTGCTTCCCCTTCTTCTTCCCCTCTCCCCCCTGCTTCTCCTGTGCACCTCCTCAATACGCAGGAAGCAGGGGGCGCTGGCGGAAAGGCAGGGAAAGGAGGGGAGATGGGGGGAATGGTGCCCATAGACTACTGGTCCGCGCAAGCCCAAGCTCAGGCACGAGCCCAGGCACAAGCCCAGGCACAAGCCCAGGCACAAGCCCAGGCACGAGCCCAGGCACGAGCCCAGGCACAAGCCCAGGCACAAGCCCAGGCACGAGCCCAGGCACGAGCCCAGGCACAAGCCCAGGCACAAGCCCAGGCACGAGCCCAGGCACGAGCCCAGGCACAAGCCCAGGCACAAGCCCAGGCACAAGCCCAGGCACAAGCCCAGGCACAAGCCCAGGCACAGGCATAGATGCACCAAGGCCTCATATGCAGTGGGTAACTCTTCTTTCCTTCCCCTTCTTCTCTACCCTCCTTCCCCTTCTTCTCTAACCTTCCTTCCCCTTCTTCTCTTTTCCTCCTCCCGTTCTTCCCCTTTGCACCTCCCGTCTCTGCAGGAAGGGGGGGGCGCTGGCGGAAAGGCAGGGGAACCGGGGGAGATGGGGGGAATGGTGCCCATAGACTACTGGTCCGCGCAAGCCCAGGCCCAGGCGCAAGCTCAGGCCCAAATGCACCAAGCAGCAGCAGCTGCGGCAGCAGCAGGACAGATGGGGCCGGGGGGGCAGGGAGTGGGTATGGCAGGCGGAATGGGGGGGATTCCGGGAGTGGGAACGGGCGGGGGGGCGGCGGGAGGAGCAGGGGGGGCTGGGGGGATGGTTGGCGGGGGGATGGGTGGTGCTGCTGGTGGCAGTAGCGGTGGTGGTGGTGCTGGGGGCGCAGGGGGAGCAGTGGCTGGGAAGAAACGGGGTGCTGTGGGGGGGACAGGAGGTGGAGGGATGGGGATGTCGTCAGACCTATGGGTGCACTCTGTGAGTCTCTTTTCCCCTCCCTCTGTCCGAATCTCTTTTTCCTGTCTCAATCTGAGTCTCGTTTTCCTTTCTTGCTCTAGTCCCTTTTTCCCCTCCTGCACTTTCTGAGTCTCGTTTTCTATTTGCGTGTAAGATGTTTTATGAGGAAGCAATATACCTAGAAGAACGAACATATCCGATAAACCTAATCCGCCCTCTGTTTTAAGTCCTCTTTGGTTTACATTTGCAGAATCTCAACAACGTATCTAACAAACCTGTTTTCACCCCGCCCTCCTTTCCCCCTTTTCCCCCCCATCCTTCCTCTTTGCGAGCTGGACGATTGTGAGGTGAATGAGCAGCGCTGTGGCATATTAATGATTCTAATCAAAACATACAACCATCCCCCCGCTCTCTGTCCGCGTGAGTCAGCAAGACGACCGGGAGGTGAAGAAGCGGGTTATGTTGAAACCCCACCCAACCCTTCTCCCCTCCCCCCTCCCCCTCCCCCTCCCCCTCTCCCTCTCCCTCCCCCTCTGTGTGAGGGAACAGGACGACCGGGAGGTGAAGAAGCGGGTTATGTTGAAACCCCACCCAACCCTTCTCCCCTCCCCCCTCCCCCTCCCCCTCCCCCTCTCCCTACCCCTCTGTGTGAGTGAGCAGGACGACCGGGAGGTGAAGAAGCAGCGCCGTAAGCAGTCCAACAGAGAGCCGGCAGTCAACAGCGGGTTATGTTGTACCCCCCCCCCCCCCCCTCCCCCCCAACCCTTCTCCCCTCTCCCCTCCCCCTCCCCTTTTCCCTCCCCCTCTGTGTGTGCGGGCAGGACGACCGCGAAGTGAAGAAGCAGCGCCGCAAGCAGTCCAACAGAGAGTCGGCTAGACGGTCGCGGCTGCGCAAGCAGGTGCATGGCGAGAGGGGGGCTGGGGGTTGGGTAGCTGGGAATGACTGAGGGAGGGATGTGGGTGAGAGGCAAGCAGTCCAACAGAGAGTCGGCTAGACAGTCGCGGCTGCGCAAGCAGGTGCATGGCGAGAGGGGGGCTGGGGGTTGGGTAGCTGGGAATGACTGAGGGAGGGATGTGGGTGAGAGGCAAGCAGTCCAACAGTGAGTCGGCTAGACGGTCGCGGCTGCGCAAGCAGGTGCATGGCGAGAGGGGGGCTGGGGGTTGGGTAGCTGGGAATGACTGAGGGAGGGATGTGGGTGAGAGGCAAGCAGTCCAACAGAGAGTCGGCTAGACGGTCGCGGCTGCGCAAGCAGGTGCATGGCGAGAGGGGGGCTGGGGGTTGGGTAGCTGGGAATGACTGAGGGAGGCATGTGGGTGAGAGGCAAGCAGTCCAACAGAGAGTCGGCTAGACGGTCGCGGCTGCGCAAGCAGGTGCATGGCGAGAGGGGGGCTGGGGGTTGGGTAGCTGGGAATGACTGAGGGAGGGATGTGGGTGAGAGGCAAGCAGTCCAACAGAGAGTCGGCTAGACGGTCGCGGCTGCGCAAGCAGGTGCATGGCGAGAGGGGGGCTGGGGGTTGGGTAGCTGGGAATGACTGAGGGAGGGATGTGGGTGAGAGGCAAGCAGTCCAACAGAGAGTCGGCTAGACGGTCGCGGCTGCGCAAGCAGGTGCATGGCGAGAGGGGGGCTGGGGGTTGGGTAGCTGGGAATGACTGAGGGAGGGATGTGGGTGAGAGGCAAGCAGTCCAACAGAGAGTCGGCTAGACGGTCGCGGCTGCGCAATCAGGTGCATGGCGAGAGGGGGGCTGGGGGTTGGGTAGCTGGGAATGACTGAGGGAGGGATGTGGGTGAGAGGCAAGCAGTCCAACAGAGAGTCGGCTAGACGGTCGCGGCTGCGCAAGCAGGTGCATGGCGAGAGGGGGGCTGGGGGTTGGGTAGCTGGGAATGACTGAGGGAGGGATGTGGGTGAGAGGCAAGCAGTCCAACAGAGAGTCGGCTAGACGGTCCCGGCTGCGCAAGCAGGTGTGTGTGTGGCGAAGGGGGGGTGGGAGTGTGTGTGTGGCGACGGGGGGGTGGGAGGTTGTGGGAGTGTGAGGAGGGTCTGATGGGGGGGGTGTGTGCATGCTCTTAACAAATATCTTCTCATCGTTTTTTTCTCCTTTTTCAAGTATTTTTCTTCTTCACAAATATCTTACAAATATCGTGTCCTCTTACAAATGTCGTCACCTTCTATAAATGCCGTCTCCTTCTATTAATGTCGTCTCCTTGCACAAGTGTCTTCTCATTTACAAACGTATTTTCCTCTTACGAATGCCTTTTCCTCTTACAATTGTCTTCTCCTCTTACAAAAACTATTCCCTCACCCCCAGGCGGAGTGTGAGGATCTGATGGGGCGGGTGCGTGCATGATCTCACCACTCCCCTCTCTTCTCTTCCCTCACCTCACCCTCCCATCAACCTCTGCTTCTTCCCCCCAATCCAGGCGGAGTGTGAGGATGTGATGGGGCGGGTGCGCGCACTCACAGACGAGAATCAGACGATTCGAGCTGGTGTCCTCTGTTCCTAAACCTCTGCCTCTTGTCTCTGCCTTGCCCGCCTGCCAATCTCTTCACCCCTCTTCCCCAACCCCACACACTCCCCCCCCCGCCCAATGCAGGCGGAGTGTGAGGATCTGATGGGGCGGGTGCGCGCGCTGACGGACGAGAATCAGACGATTCGAGTGGAGCTGCAGCGCATGCAGGAGGAGTGCCACAAGATGGCTCAGCAGAACGCACTGCTGCAGGTGGGTGGGTGGGTGGGTGGGTGGGTGGGTATGGTTGTCAAAAGGGAGCTGCAGCGCATGCAGGAGGAGTGCCATAAGATGGCGCAGCAGAACGCCCTCTGGGCATGCAGCACAGAGCATGCAGCACAGAGCATGCAGCACAGAGCATGCAGCAC